TCTGCTTGTAAAAGTGGTATCGGTGGCATGTACCGTTCCCCTACAAATGTACGCCATCCGTACAAGGCCGCTGTATCAGTTCTCAGTCGTTATCTTTCTGTCCCATGATATCTCTTAGGCAATGGTGGCACCCATCGATGCTCAGACTTCACGTTGCAGTTATAGCGTTATCCACGATCAGCTGCCTGACTATGTTCCGTAGATGATTCATCAGTCGTCCATAGGACCATCAGTGCTCGTGTAACTTACTGTCCTCATTGATCATGCTAAAGTGCACCTCATCGCTATAATGTTGACAATTAGCACAGCCGAAAACACGGCGCGTCTGTATGCCTCGCCATCCCCAGTAAACTGTCTCCCTCAGCCGCCGCACCGGCCGCGGATAGTGCGAGCGCGGCATTGCTCATGGCTAACTAGTCGTTATTTTTATATTATCATTGCTTTTATTATTGTAACAATGATGCAGTAATGTTCCAATGCCATTATCTCGCTATTAGCCCCACTTCACTACTACTTCTCTTCACTAACCCTCGAGGCACTCTGGATTAATTCCAGAAATCCGAAAATGAACCGCAGGGAAGAATGCCTCATTATCACGCGTGATATAGGGCAATATATAAAACTGCTTTTCTGATGTGAGGGGCACATTATACTTCCACGTGATTTCTGTGCGGTTGGTCTCTACGTGACATACTTAGTGGAGACCTCATAGAAAGCGGTGAGTGTGCAAAGCTGTGTTCAAAGTGATTGAAATCTTGGTTTGGGGTTTCTTTGTTTGGTTATGGAGGCGTCTGGCCGAGTGAGTTGCTATCAACTTGACCTTTCCAGGCTCTGAAGAAGGCGAAATTCGCCGAAACGTCAGCTTAATCGTGAACAAAGAACAATAACACCTCGCGTTTGCTCAAAAATACGAACAAAATCACTTGTCATTATTATGTTATTAATATTATATTTATGTACATAAGCGGTTTAGTCACCCAAGTTTGAGCTTTGGCACATCGCTTCTTTAACACAAGAAGACCCGCACTTCGTCTTCGCACAACCATTTCACTTCGTTATAAATGGTATATATGCTGGGATATTTGCAAAACTCCGGAACGCAGGTGTCTGCGGTGGGGATCGAACAGGCTATTACCCTTTCCGGAGGTTAACGTGTTCATCACCACACCGTGCGGATCCTTCTAACCACTGACAACAATATATTTTTATGACGGACCATAGTAAGACACACTAAGTAGTAACAAGCATATAAATATGAATGGTAGAACAATAGGACGATAAAACAAATTTTATTCTACAATTTTTTCATGCTTACATCCTCTAAGGCACTTTTGTTATTGAAAAATTAATTTTTTTTATCAAAGAACCAAGAAGTCTTCAACTAACGAAAAATTACTGGTATTCGATTACGCCAATGACTTTGTCGCTGTTTTCGATTGCAATTTCTTGGCTGCATATGAGAAGTAATTAGTTCTTTATTGTGTGGTATATGAAATAAGTGTTTTTGTACCACTCTAACCGCACTCGGCTTTCACTTGTTCTATTGTCAAGTTCCAGCTGACAAGCTATGTGGGTTTTCCGAGAGAGCAGTGTCTGTCCCTAGAAGGCAGTTAAAAGGGCTACCTCCCTTGCTTCGACGTATAGGGGTCAGTAGGTCAGTCAGTGGGTCCTATCGGTATCATGTCATATCTGTCATTATATTGCTACTGCCATTCACCATATTCCTCAAAGTACCGCAGCTTCTAAGAATGCAAGAGTGCAGCCTAGACGTCTTGATTCCATATTTGTGCTTCTCATTTGGAATGTTGTTGAGAGCATGCAACTTTACCCCCAAATGGTCCCTTTCGGACGTTCCACCAATTCTCAATATTTGCCTGTTGTAATAACTTAAGACCAAGGAATAGCATTCATAGAATCGTTCACTATTAAAATATGTTGTTCTCCGTATGGTGCTTAATTCTTTACCGCCTTGCTCAGCTATGCCCTCGTTTTTTGTGAAAGAATACTTTGACGTCAACTATACAAAATGGCATTGTAGAAGCCTTCTCGATAATTTATTTCCTTATATGCAGCCGTTTTGTCTAATCGCCGTATTTTCGAATGTATCTTCAAGAAGTGAACTCATTCGAAAAGGAGTTTTTGTAAACTATTAAGCGCCAGGATTGCCTCTTCTAGTCTTGCCTTCACTACATTGATCTGATTTCTATTAGACTTTGGATTAATATCCATAGTTTGACGAAGAAGCTTTACAACCTACTGAAATGAAAATGTACACCTTAGTGTACATGAGACGCCGTACATGTGTTTATACTATCTGCGTAGAAGGGGAACTCAACAACTGAAATGCACTGCATAAAGTAAAGCAGTAAGGAGATGACGTTTACAAGAACTGAATTCAGGCCAATGAGATGGTGGAAGACAATGCTGCTTGTATCTTTGTTAGAGTGGACGGAACCGCTACCTTTCTTCAAGTTTAGCATTTATTTCGACGATTCCAGCACTTCTCACACTAGATCCATTTCATCGCATCGAATTTCATCTCCTAATTTAACAATCAACGCTCAATTGGACCACAGCCTCACCAAATTTAGGATGCATCTGAAGTCTCCAAACGGAAATTTCTGAGCAGCAACTTTTAGCGACATCTTAGTGTTCGTTCTCCGTAAAGTACGGATCGCAAAGGACAAAGACCAACCACGAGATGATGAAAGTCTATTTATATATTCGTGAATGCTCTAAACAAAAAAAAACGGTATTATGCATCGTGTTGTATTTCTGGGATTAAGTTGCCACCGATAGTTGGTTATTTCAGGTAAGCTTTCGGTGCCTTCGTCTTTTCAGAGGTGCAATGTCGAATGGAATATCCACCAGTAGTTGTTTCTTGCAATATAAGACTTCGCAGTCGCTCCGAGTTCTAGAGTGCAGTTAAACACCTTATGGTACAAAAAAGCGATGCTGGTCGTTTTTCTCGAGCGAATAAAACTCGCTGTGGAACTCTGCTACCCAAGCAGGTGGTGCAACTACCATTCAATTCAATGGCCCTTCTCGTTGTTTTTCGCTTTCATGTATCATTTGGGTTATTTCAGAGTGACCATCATTTTTAAGAGCTTTACAAATCGATACGTATGCTTTGTGGTTTGCCGTTTGTTTCACTTGATAAAAAGAAATATGTGAATATTCCCGTCGATTTAGATAATCGTAACACTGCTGTTTTTATTTTCACTAGTACACGTCCTCTTTTTCATACAAAAGGCGTATTTTAGACATTAGAGGTAAAGACGAGTAACGTTTGAGAATTTATGAAATGAATTCATTCATTCTATCGTTCGTTCACCGTTCACCTCGTTCCATCTGTTCCCGTTTTTCGAGTCGTTTTGCCCAGTGACAATCCAAGTCGTACGGCTTGTCGTCCACCTAAATGGAAATGGTGAGATGTGAGGGTCCTTAAGTCAAAAACAAGGCTATTTCTGTAAGCTTCATAAAATGCCCTTCATAGATGAGGAAACAACATAAGCAATGTTATGAAAAGAGGAAAAAGCAAACCATGCAATCTCAAAGGAACTTAGGGAGGAGGACCTTGAAAAAAGCTGGTGGTCTTGCATAGATGTGATAGTCTATTTGCAACAAAGTAGAATGGTATACTTAAGAGATTAAACGAATTATTTATAATCTAAAAGAGTAAATAAAGCGAAAATATATAAAGAGATGTGAAAGAGATGTCTAGGAGATGTCTTATGACAGTCACTGGATTTCAGTAGAAGATCACGGAACCCACTAGATAGTATTCTCCATTGGGTAATGGTCGATTACAGGAAGAGCATGCGAAGCAACGAGGGTGCCAGTGACGATCCAAAGCCAATAGGCACGTATCCACCAAAGTCTCCATACAACCTTAAGAACATGATGTTCCGGTCACACAAAGAATGTCGCCCCCACAACCTGCTGTATTTATACATCTGCGCACGAAAGAAGAAAATTATGCTCATTAGCGTAGTGTAGGGTGCTAACACCATTGCCGAGTTGTGGCAAACTGGTTAAAGATGCTGTGCAATACACGCGTGGTCATTGGTTCGATTCGACGTTCTTGGATAACTAGGCCCTTCATCAATCCGAGGTCGAAAAATTGCCATATGGGCCACCTCAAAGTTTTCCTTTGTTTAGCCCAAATACGCATTTTATGGTCTCTGTGATCGTTATCAAAGTCGAATACGTGGCGTGAAGCATCGTACATTCCTGGTGGAGTTAGTCAAACTGGGACGCTGTCATGCATTTAAATATTTATGGAAATGTAAAACAAAGATGTGATGTGCTTATTGTATTTAGAAACTAGGTAGTGGTAGTCGTAAGGAAGTTGGAAAAGCCAGGAATTGACAAGAACATAGACGCCAGGCAATGTCGCATTGAGAAAAGGAGGCTAAAGATTGTTGCTAGGCGATAGATCTGATGGATTTTGTAACCGTTCGTCATCTCTAAACTGAAGATGGGATTGTGACCCGCTAAATTCATGATGACGATGGGAACAAAGAAAAAGGTGGTCCGAATTTTTTATAACTCAGAATACTATGGCCACACTGAAGATAGTCTATATACGTCACTATAGCTCTTACTCACTCGAAAACACCTTTGACGGAATCTCGCGTTTTTCATCATGAAACGCTCTACAGTTTGGACCGTAACAGATCGATGGAAAAATTAAACACAGCATTCACTAGAGTGCTTAAGACGGAAGTGTGGCTAACTTGCTGCACATTTTCCAAGCTGCTGAACGCCGTTTCAAAGCGGGTATCGTTTAGTGGGAAACGATTTCAAAACACCTAAAGATTCTAAGAGCATTTGAATGTGTTCTAAGCAGATGAATTTTTTCTGGAACCTAGTTGTGTCCAGGACAGGGTTGCACTGAGCGATTTACGCATATCTGGCCTATGCAGGGAGTCGTGAAGCGCTACATATGCGTCAAGTCGTTTTCTATATTTCCAGACATATTTCATGGTGATTCACCGATTCGAGAAGAATAGTGCACCTAGCGTACCAAAGGCGGGGGACGAACCAAGGTCCACGTGTGTGTTGGAAATCTCCTATAGCCGTTGTGGTACAGACGACTGCTCATAAAATTCTAGTGGTTCTGAGAATTTGAGTCGTTGATTAGTTGGGTTTTTCTGAGACGTCACTAACACTTCACCTGCACATTTTGGGTTGTACTTCTGGGCGAAACAATGCACGCAATATGCATGACTGTCTGCAGCCTGCAAACTCTTCCGATTATTACCGATTCTACTAATGATACTTTAGTTTACTTTTTATTTGTTTATTTATTAGATTTTACGAGAAAAGAAAATAAAACCTTGTTGATCAGCCTGTTACTCCGCCGTTAGGTAGAGAGCTTGTGTGATGGGTAGGAAGAAACTTTGTGTTGAGGAAATGAGTCAGGAAAATTCACTATATAGACCACATCACTTTGGCTCAACTAAGCAATACCTGTTTCGTGCAAGGGTCATCACTATTCCTCCCTTAAATTTTCAAATCTAGCTCCTAGATTTTCTCGATTCTGACTCATTTTTGTAAGCCATTCGAACACCCCAATTCTTATGATCGATCGATGCGTAGAATTAATGTTGTTCGCTAGCAGTAAGCTAAGCATTAACTAGGAACGTTTATTAGTATTGTTGTGTCACAAATGACTGATGGGGTCCAAACCTGGTAAGTTTGCTTGATAGGGCGTTTGCATGCGGTGCATGTGAAATGATCTGGGTGCCATAGACGATTCATGGCAACAACTGCCTGAAATCCTATCGTAACGGATTCGGAGCATAGCTCTTGCGTATATCTTAAACTGTCTAAGTTGTTGCAAGTTGTGTTTTGTAGTTGTCTGAGTGATAAATGAAGTGGAGCTACTCGGTGTGGAATGTGTTTACAGTTAATTTTCGATTGTCAACTTTAATGGAGCGATCAGGATACATGGTGACAATTTTGGACCGCCAACAATTAACTTCTATGATGCTGAGATATTTTTAAAACTATGGACCGCAGGTGTCTGTGGTGGAAAACGAACGCGCTATTACCTTTTCCGGAGGCTAGTCTGCTCATCACTACACCATGCGGGTCCTCCGTTTCGCCTGTTTCTCAGCTAGTTCTATCGATCACTGCTATCAGCAATCACCCGGAAGAGTTAATAGTGCGTTCGTTCCCCACCGCAGACACATGCGGTCTGGAGTTTTGCCAATATCTCAGCATCATCGAAGTTATATTTCGCAATTTACCCTGCCATTAAAAAAGAGAAGGCAGTAAATAAAAACGCTAGGATTGTAATTAACGAGATTGTTTTGACTGTTAACGAGATAATCGCCTCAGAGAAGAAACCTATCTCATAGCAAGTGTCGCTGAGTATCGCTTATCACATGCGTTGTAAATCAACACAATGCAATCAATAAGTATGTCTTGCCTATTAGAAGCTTCTGAGTGCATGTACTGCATTATTGCGTGATCTTGGCACTGATTAATTTTCACTTCAATGTTGTGTTTCCTACACGTCACTTCATTACTGGTGCAATATTTCGTAATAATTGACCACACACCTCGTCACCAATGGAAGTATGACACTGAGCGCAAAGTCTTCTATCAGTCGATCGATCCATATTAGCTTCGTACGTTCAGATTCGCCAAGAAGCTTCCAATGAACCATACCACTATACTCATTTGTTCGGCCATCGTGATAAGATTGATAAGGCGAAATCTTAGTTTTGGTGAATAAACAGCACCTTATTCAACTTGTATCGTCTTCGAGCGGTCGGTCAACTAGTCAAGGGAAAAATTTCTGGGCTGGAAAAAATCACTGTTTCACGATAGGAAATTTTTCTGGGTTTGTATCGACCAGATGGCTTCTATGGACTTTGGCAACGAACATATCTGTCCAAGCCGTTATCCGGCTTTCTGGGCCGCGAGGTCCGAAGTAATTTTCCAGTCATGTTTCTTTACCAGTTGTTGTTAACGATGACAACGACTTCGCGTAACACTCCGTTTCCAACAAACCATCTGCAGCAGCGAATATAGCTTATTAATTATTGCAACAAGCACACTTGTCCATCTCGTTGATGTTGTTGTTGGTCCTAAAGCGTTTTGCATTCCGTTTTATGGCCTTCATGCCAGTCTCTTTTCTACTTCCCTCATAATATGACTGAATCGGAGGGCGGGTGTAGTGCAGTGGTTGGAAGTATTTTGAAATTCACCAGTAGTCATTGGTTCGACTCCATCCGCTGAGCTAACAAAGCACTCCATCCTTAAAGGTTTAGCAAATTGCTACCAAGGTTGTCCGGAGGGTAAAGAATGGTCAAGTAAATCGATAGCTCTGTGAGCCATATGTAGGGCAAGTATGCTCCCAATCATTTCTGAAATGGTGCGAATGGAGTCGAATGCATAGCGCATTTTTAAAAGATTGATGAGCGATTTATAGCTTGTCCTTTTGTAGCCAACATATCTGTGCTTCATTTTCGATCGTCCATCTCAGAAGTGTCAAATACGGCAAGATCATCAAGTCAAAGGACTGAAACACTAAATTATACTTCTGCGATTTATGTTAGCCTACACTTCAAAATACATCATTCAAGTGTTTTACATCAATTCGTTTACTTCTCAGCTGCTTAACAGAGCAGAGCACTGCAAGAACATTAAGTGAGGAGGTGAGTGTGGAGGTGGAAGATGTAAAACGAGTTAGAGTGCATGTCTGTTTATTCATGAGAAGCCATCTCTGTTTGAATGTGGTGGAACTGTCCATTTTTCTAATCTTATTTCAGGACCTGCTGTGAAAATGGCAAGCACGTTAGGATTTTAAGAAGATGAAAGCAATTTTAATCATTTATTAACATTCACGATGGCAATTCCCTACTTTTATGTTAAGAAAAAACCAATGAATGAACTTGAAAACCACCACAATTCCCCATGTTTTCTTCAAGCGTCACGTTTCAGATTTATGGCGTCCATCGACTGTGAGTTGAACAATTCGACAACTGAAAAATACGAATTGAAGAAAATTTGGTAACCAAATTTATTTGTTGTTAATAATGAATTAGGAACTCTAGAAATGATAAATACATAGAAGGAATAAACGGTGTCTATTTTTCTTAAAGGGTGCATGCAGCGCAGTGGTCGGAGGCGCCCTGTAATACACACGCGATTGATCCTCACGCTCCAGCACCCCAAGCCCTTCAGCCCTCCGAGGTCTGTAAATTGGTGCCATACTTTTTTGGGAGGATAGCAGTACTGGGCCGATACATTGGGACACTGCTAGCCATTGTAAAGGCCAGATATGCATTCAATCACCTCCAAAGCTTAGTGAAGCCGAACGCATGGCGCATCCCTCAGGGATTCATGAACTCCAAGAGTTTTATGCTTCTATCTTTTTTATTTTTCTTATTTCTTGAGGTAGCTTTTGTCTAGCGGTGTAAATTAAGTAACTAAGAAGTACAGCTCAAATATCTTCGTACCACTGTATAGAAAAATACAGGTTCTTGATTACTACTTCTGTAAGACACAGTACTACTGAATGGAGCACATCACGAACTTCGACTATCGACGTAAAGAAAATTCGATGACATCCGTATCATACCGTTGTTTCATCGAAAATTTTCACCAAACGCATTGTAAAGATCAATAGCCGGATCTTCTGGTGGCCATTCTTGACGTTGTCGAATCCTTTCGGAATCACCGTTGATCGCGACTGAAATTTCATGTTTAACGATGTGATAAATCTTCCTTCCCGTGTAGTATTTATCTTCAGGTTTGGCCTTTTCTCACTCCAGTCACATTGTGGTGCTTCTTACCTTAATTCTCCCTTAAAGTTCCATAGGATTCTTCAAATATAAAGGATCGACGTCGAAGGCCACTTGATTATTTTCTCCGGTCCACTTTTCCCCAGGATTACCCTAGCAACCGTTAGTTCGGCGCTTTCCACTGCGTACGCCTGTGATCATTTATTGTTCATGTGATTATTTCTATCCATAATGACACCAGAGTAGATTGCCGGTTGTCGAATCCAGGACCAATGACGTGAGCGTGAAAAGACCGTGAATTGAAAAACACAACAAAAAAACAGCAAAAAAATTGACGGCAGAAATCAATTCTATGGATCGTCAACGAATATTATTTTAGTAACTAAATGCTCTCTGCATGGACGAAACGGATAAATGATAATAAGTCTGGGGTTAAGGAATGAAGCCATCCTCTACGAAGTTCAATAGATCCGGTAGTTTTTACTTAAGCTTAATTATGCACATATAAATATTATAATGTAAATGTTTAGCCTCTTGAGCCTAAAAAGACAAAGTTCAGCTCACTTTGGTAAGATTGTAAGTGGGCCTTTTGTGGATCACTGACGACAATGTGACGATCGTCTACCGGTGTCGGATGTTCAGCTACGATTCGCCTTCGGCGAAAGGATTGACAGCAATAACTCTTAGGACGACAAGCGTGGGTAATAGTAATCAGAAGCATAAGCAAGATGACGAGTGGGCGTGAGAACATTCTGGAAAAGAAATCGAAAAAAATTTTTGTAGACATTCCCTTTATTAGAGCAACTGAGTGGAAAATTATAGCATAATTGGATATATTTATGTACATATACACAAATATATATACATATATTTGTATATATATATATATATATATATATATATATACGCACACACACAAACAAACACAATGAACCAGCAATAGCGGTGAGGAACTAGAGGAGGAGGGGCCTGTAAGTATTCTGAAATAGATTTGGCGACATACAGAACGGGAATATTTTTTTCTGAGAAATTCTTGTTCACTAGAGATATTAGTAATCAGTTAGTCATGTTGAGGACAATATAGAAAAATTGCTGGACTGAAAAGCGTCCAGTCAACGCGATCGGCAAGAATGAGACAGAAATAAATGGCAACAATTCACAAGCAGTCATAACTTCGTAATCCTCTTATACCTTCAGTATTACGATGCATGAATTCTTGCGTGAAAAGGAAGCACTTTGATCTGCTGATCCCGATAGCTCTGGATGAAATATAGCTAAAAACTACTAATACAGAGAGACTGCTAAGGTGTCACCAACATTCAAAGATTCCAAAATCTGAAGCAACCACATTGACGCTAGTTGCTGACGATATGTGCACTGATAAAACAGGCACAGCTACACCAGAGGATTGTACTGAGGTCGAAAGGAGCTTTTTGTATACCGCTAAAGATGGGACGATCATAATTAGAAAGAATAAGGGTCAGTCAAGGCATTCCGACGCCAATTGGAGAACGTTAGGGAGCCGAACCAACACCTGACTTCCTGATAGACTACCTTATCACTCTGTTAACCCGCATCCTACCTATACTCATATGTGTATATCTATATATGTATATGTGTACATATATATATATATATATATATCCGTAATTATGCTGAGATACGACCACAGCGATGATGAGATATTTGCAAACCTCCTACAGGTGTCTGCGGTGGAAATCGAGCGATCTATTACTCTTTCCGGGGATTAACGCGCTCACCACCACAGCATGTAGGGCCTTCAATTCGGCTTTGTGTTAGCTGGCTTTCTGTCTACCAGTGCAATCACCCGTCAACGGGACTTATCTGTGCAGCATAAGTCTGCATTGAACCTAGCTAAGCTAAGGCTGCAGTCGGAGTCACAGTGTTGACTTTTTATTTTCCACTTACCAGAATTATTTAGGGCAGCAGATTATGGGAATCTCGTTAACGGGTGACTGCTCATGGCACTGGAAGATAGAAAAGTGGCTGAGGAAAACGCGAAACGAAGGACCCTCATGGAATGGTGGTGAGCGCACTAGCCTCCAGAAAAGATAATAGCGCGCTCGATCCCCACCGCAGAGATCTGCGGTTCGGAGTTCTGCAAATATCTCAGCACCATTGCAGTTGTATTTCACACAATATCCTGTCGTGGGCACAGTGGTCGGAGGAGCCCTGCAACACACACATGGAATCGATCCTCGCGCCCACGGCCCACCAAGCTTTCCATCCTTCCGGGGTCGGTAAATTGGTGCCAGATTTTTTTTGGTGGATAGCAGCACTGCCTCGATACATCGGTAGGCCATCGCGAGTTGTTGTAAAGGCCAGACATGCATTCACTGCCTTCCAAATGGTGATTAAGGAAGTTGAATACATGGTGCATACCTCAGGGATTGATCTACACTGAAAGCTTTATCCTTTTTCTATCCTGTAGTAAAGACTTGCAGTAGACGGTAAATAGAAAGATAATGATGCTGCGATATTTGCGAAAGTCGGGAGTCCAGGCCAGCTTCGAACCCCGGTTACCCTTTCCGAGTGCTCACGTGTGACGCCCTATATCACATAAACCCGTGCTTTGCCTTTCTCTCAACCATTTTTTTGTCCTAACGGTTCTATCAGCAACAATACGTCAAGGAGGGACAAAACAAGGCATCACAGTCGGCATCACGACCGTTGAAACTTAAGAACTGCTTTTTAACTTATCAGAAAAGTTTTAGTTTCGCATTAAGAGCTCTTAGATGAATATCGCAGACTGCCATCATTTCATGGTCGATGGAAAGCTAACCCAAAAAATTCTTTTTTGTCTGTTCAGTGAGATCAGCTGGTCCGTCTGAGAATAATGCTGGATCAATAAAACTGTTTGAATTAGTGAATTCATAAGTCTACATTTATAGCTCGTAGTTAAAAAACACGAAACAAACATTTCGTCATGAAACACGCCGAAAATAGTAGAAAATGCTCTCTTAAGTTTTAATGTGCACCATAAATAGTTTAGTAACAGAATTACTCAACAAAATCTCTGTTTCTAATGAGTTCGTCGATCATCTTCGCATGCCAGTGAGCGTATGAGACAGCATGAAGAATCGGATGAAATGGTGTGAGAAAGTCTTGTGATTCAACCTCTTCTTTTCTGGCAGGCACTTGTGAAAGCTGAGTGATACCATCTGTAATATGCCATATTCACAAACGAGGTGTTTTTAGACAAGAATACGGTAGATCTTTTTAACTAAACAGCCTGCTTACAGCCCATCACAAACGTTCCGCCCAATATCAGTAATCTTCTCAGTATTTATTATTTTATGTGCAATTTGACAGAACAATTTAATATGTGAGAGGCACGTGGCGTCTAGTGACACCTGCTCTTAGGAAAACGCTTAGTTTTCAGTCTCTCGGACTTGCTGGTTTTTTGACAATAAACGAAAATCCTTTGAAAACTAAAGAGCCTGGAAGAAGTGGGGTCGGGGTTGAGGGTTGGGAACATGTCAGGATTGTAAAAGAAACTTTATTCTGTCGTCACATTGGGATAAATGGTACGCTTGCTATTCTCCACAGTATATTGCTATGATCCATCATACAAACACATTGTTATGAGAATTTTAAAGTGTTTCGCCACTTAGGCCGTGTCTAATTCGATATTTTTCGTACCTGCCTACACCATACGAAAACTATGGTCCATTATAAGAATTGGAATTAAAATATCGATCAATCGGTGAACTCTTTCAGGAATGGTCTCTTGTATATCTTTAAATGCAGTATAGAGCTTTTCCCATCGGACGTTGGACCATCGGACGTTGGAAACAGCATTTGTGTTCTATTGGTTATCTATCGACTACAAACGGCATCAGGAAATGTCTTCTGCGTCCCAATTCAATCCATCAAAAAGAAAATGACCTATAGAGAAATCACATCGGCCGTTGGACGTATATGCCCATATCGTCCATTATGGATTGAACTAGCGGCTAGGAAACTGTGCAGCGATGACGAACAATGTGTACTTTCTGTAATAGTTCCCAGGATCGACTTTCTCTTAACCTCGGCATTGGAATATGAATGTGTCGTTTTCTTGTTCAGCAATCGCGAGGTTTTTAAACAGCACACATTTACTTCCATAGAAAAACACAATACAATACAACGCTAGCTGACGTTTCGGCAGTATCGCCTTCTTCAGAGCCGCTTTTTCGTGACTTCCAATGAGGAAGTTTAGAACAGCTGATTATAGACGCATGTGGTTGACGACTCAGTCGTCTATGGAAGAGTCGTCAACCACATGCGACTATAATCATCTGTTCTAAACTTCCTCATTGGAAGTCACGAAAAAGCGGCTCTGAAGAAGGCGATACTGCCGAAACGTCAGCTAGNCTAGCTGACGTTTCGGCAGTATCGCCTTCTTCAGAGCCGCTTTTTCGTGACTTCCAATGAGGAAGTTTAGAACAGATGATTATAGTCGCATGTGGTTGACGACTCTTCCATAGACGACTGAGTCGTCAACCACATGCGACTATAATCATCTGTTCTAAACTTCCTCATTGGAAGTCACGAAAAAGCGGCTCTGAAGAAGGCGATACTGCCGAAACGTCAGCTAGTGTTGTATTGTATTGTGTTTTTCTATGGAAGTAAATGAGTACTTTATTCACTGCAGAAAGAGTATTTTTCTCATCAGGAAATCTAAACGTCTATCGCTAGGGGCAAAACAAAGTAGTTATTTCTTAGATTTGCTTTTGCAAAAAACTGCAGGGAACAGGGCAAAAACAGCGACTTGAAATACGATTGAACCAATCAGTGATCGCTGCACAGCAATGTGACGCGTGTGCTATTCGGTAGGCGTTCAAGACAGATCAATAAGCAATTTACAAAGGACATATTAGCAAAAGTGGAAGAAAGACAGGAAAAAGTTGTGGACCAAAATACATACCAATTGGATCGATAAGTCTAGTCGGTTTGTAACGTGAATACGTTATCGGATGAGTCTAAACGATGTGTACAAATGAAAAAAAGTTTTGGCAAATAAAGAAACGCCGACGCAACTCCGTTGTTATTATTAAGTAATTGAAGCAATAGTGGTAGTGGTTACGGCTTCATTTATAAACAAAAACAGCAGTGGCATTAAGCGCTCACCTCTGTTGCAACCAACTTCAGGCGGATGTTGGGGTCGAACTGACACTCGTCATCGTTCAATGGTCGACTTTTGTGCTTAACGCTAAGGAAAAATTGTAACAGAAACGTCTACAAATCACATTAAATAGAAAAGCAAAGCTATTAAGAATGCTGAAACCTTTGTGATATTCTAGGTGTTTGCGGTTGGTTGATGACAGTTACATGAACCCGTCGCATGTTAAATCCATAAGATGAAAAAAAGTGGGCGAGATTATTGGAAAGATACACGCCTTATTGGTGGACGAGTTGCCGATAGGACTGTTTTGCTTGTATACAGTCAGATTAATTTCAGTTAGTTTTTCAACGTCAGCTGGAATTCTTATGATTCTAATAATAACAATTATTATTACTATTGTTATTATTTATTTCCCATCAAAATTTTGTAGATTTGGACTCCCCGGATCAATCCCATTGGCGGGTTATTACTGATGGCACTGATCGATAGAACTGCTAGAGAAAGACAAACAAAGGACCCGCATGATGTGTCAGTGAACACGTTACCCCAGGGAAAGCGTAATAGCGCGTTCGTTCCCTGGGGCAAACACGTGCGGTCCGCAGCTTCGTCATTATTATTATTGCTGCTATTATTATTATTATCATTATTCTTATTATTATTATTATTATTATTATTATTATTATTATTCTCTTGACGGTTTACCGCTTCATGGTGGCTATGAGGTGTTTCTAGATGTCGGGTTGCGATGTAGAGCGGAGGATCCAGCCTCACGGTAGAGCCTTCCAAGTTGAAAAGGAGTCCGGCATTTCAGTCAGGAGGCCCAGAGCTAAGATTAAACCAGTGCCAGGAATTACCACCGTCCTGATATGAAGCCAGTCACTTGGTAGCAAATCTCCTTCTGATCGACGAGGGTGGGAACTCCCTGCTTTTGTGACGACATGGGGCAGACGTTGACTAGGCTGACTTCGGCACTCCAGGGAACCACAATGGTTAAGCCTAAGTTTTAAGTCTTAAGCAAAAGTCTGGAAAATGGAAATCTTGCTGAGGCTCGCACAACTAGTGTGGATGGGTCATCCATGTATCCAAGCAAGTATTATTTCTATGCTGTATCGTTAATGATGACTAGTTTTATTCACTGAATTGAGCTGGGAAAAATCAATATGAATTTTTCATGTGAATTATTAAAACTCATAAGAAAATTGCTGTAGAATCGTCAGAATATCGTTTACACTGGAAATGAAGACAAATAAATGATTCAAAAAGAACCTGCTCCGAGATAGGAAAAACTATAATAATGAGAGAAATTAAGGAGAAAGAAAAATGCAGGGAACGTCTGACAAACCGGCAATAGCAATGAGATGTCCTCATCGAAACATTCTCACTTGAAGTTTGTGAATCCAGCGTAAGAGGAGAAATAGGTCTTCTAAAAAGTGGTAAAGCTTGAAGCTTGAGCAAACATTAAAGGATAAGAAGATAAAGCTCGGCGTTGATCAATCCCTGAGGGATGCGCCGTGCATTCGACTTTATTAAGTGTCGTTAGAGGTTAATGGATGCATATCTGGCCTTATCATTGGCTCGTGATAGCCTACCGATGTATCCAGCTAGTGCCGATATCTTCCCAGACAAGTCTGGTACCAATTTGCCGACCCCAGAGGGATGGAAGGCTTGGTGGGCCATGGGCGCGGGATTCGATTCCACGTGTGTGTTGCAGGGCGCCTCCGACCACTGCTCCACACGGGCCCTTGAACAAACATTAGATCACGAAACTGCTGGTTTACTTTTAAATCTTCACACAAAGCTTCTTCGGCTACCGTTCTGCTAGAGTGGGCTTGTCCAAGCAAATTTACTATCAACAAATATGTGTAGGTCATCCAAGGCAAATCCATAATTATGGGTGAAGACAAAACGCTCACGTTAGATCTTCTTTCTCCTTTATCGGATAATCCTTAAATAATGGCATTATACGATAGATGAAATAATCAGAGCTAAACATGTTAGTGAAGATCGTAAGCACATAAACTTGAAAATTTCCTAGAAGGGGACCGTTAGGATCCATATACGAGCTAGACATAAACCTGTTCCAAGGAGTTAAGACCAAAGTCTCCTCGCATGATTTGTATTCTTAAAAATGTTTTTAAAGGATTCATTGCTAAAATGATAACCTTCTAACGTTTAGTTCGCTCATTTTGTGTATGGGAATGCAGATTAGATTAGAAAAGTTCAAGAGTAACAAAGGAAAGCGATTGTTATGAATTTTGGACGAGTTTCATCACGGACGCCGATGACCTCCGTTGAGTACCTGTGGTGTCGGTACTTTCACTTCAACTTCAGTTGCTTCAGCTGCCACGGGGTTGGTAGCAAGCGATTGCCGCGGTTTCATCGTCTCCAGATCTTTTGGCTTTTCATATTCTTGTTGTTTCATCGGTGTCGCTTCTAACTGACCCGCGTTACTGTCCAAATCCTGAAAAACTAGATCAGTTTCGCCTCGCTCTTCGATCAAGGGTGTCGATATTTGCATGAAGCTTTCATCTAAGCGTATTTCCAAGAATTCAGTCTAGATATTGCCCTACTTTCAGTATGCAGAAGCTGTGGAGCTCAAGTTGTAGCTGCATATAGTGTTGCATGGGAATGATGCATTGCTGATAGCATTGTTAGAGTAAAAAAAGTCCTCGGAAAGGGATGTCATGGATTCGAAGCCCAACTGAGGTCCCGAGTTTTGCTGGGATCTTACCATCTTTGTGGCTTCATTTCACATCGTACCCTGGTATGGAAAAGAAGGTAGGCGGCAAATAAAACTTAGACGTTTCCGGGGAATAACGCGTTCACCACCACACCATGCGGGCCCTTCGTTTCGCCTGTCTCAGCTAGTTCTGCGGAAGGACCCACATGGTGTGGTGATGAACGTGTTACTCCCCGGAAAGGACAACAGCACGTTCGTTTCTTACCGCAAACAGCTGCGGTCCGAAGTTTCGCAAATATCTCAGCATCATTGAAGTTATATTTCGCAATATACCCTGCCATTAAAAAGAGTAGGCAGTGAATAAAACAGTTGAGATTGTGATTATAACTAAAGCCTCAGCTTAACTGGGTTCATTGCCGATTTAGGCTCCCCAGATCAATCTCGCTGACAGGTGATTGCTGATGGCACTGATCAATAAAACTAGCTGAGAGACAGGTGAAACGAAGGACCCGCATGGTGTGGTGGTGAACGCGTTACTCCCCGGAAAGGATAATAGCGCGTTCGTTCCCCACCACAGACACCTGCGGTCCATCATTTTGCAAACACCTCAGCATCATTGAAAACTTAGACCGTTCTATGGGCAATTTTAAGTGAATCATATATATTGCGCCGTGCTTCAGTTGTAGATGTCATCGCCATCAAATCTGTCCGTTACATCGTCCTCGATTGAAGGGTCAACTAACTGCAAAAATGGTTGGGAAAGTCCTGCATACATGGCAGTACACATCTTTCCGACTCGAGAGATTGATCTAATAAAGATATGTGTAATTCAATTTTCAATATCTTTTGTTTCTTTTATCTTGAAGACAGATCCCAAATCGTAGTCGAACCCTCAAGCAAACAGACCGCATCCATGAACAGCAGTTGTAGATGAACAAAACAAAAGAGTGAAGAGGCGGTATCCGCCCTACACCTAAGTGAAATATTACAAATTTATAAAGGAGAACATTTACGTTTTCCGAGTGACTATTTTTCCAGCAATTGAACATTTAATGCAAAATTAAATATACTACGAGAAATCCTTCTTTCGTCATCTCCTCTAAACTATGTCACAAACCATTCCAGCTGAAAAGCTTCCATGTGAAGGATTTAATGGTTTGAATATCAATAAATTAAAGGAAAGCATCGTATTTGGTCATTCAAGTCGCTACAAAAGATGATCTATCTAAGTGTGCAGTAATCATCCACTACGAATATTTTTCATTTGTTTTATGCATAACCTCGTGATCAACGGGGAGTTCAAGAGAGCGCCAACAAATTCTTCATTCATTTTCCAGGAATATCAACTCGGTTCGTTGAGAAATGCTCGCACGAAGAACGTAGTGAAGTATTTTTGCATAACTTCTTCTCTTGCCACAGGTTCTTTTAAAGTTGGTAGCCTCACAAACTCACTAATGCATAGGTTCATTCTGACGGGATTTTCGGATGAAAATTTCGAAATCTTTTTAGACCTGGATGATATTGGCACTAAGGTTCTACAATTCCTGAGGATAAAAAAGAAACTTAGTAAAAACTTTAAGCAAACCTTCAACTATTCGCCAGTGGCTGATTTGGAGGTTGAAAAATCGGAGTGGTCAGCATGAAGAGATCTTGCTGGCCTTTGAGAGTGAAATCTTGTGAAATATTTGGAGGCTATTGAGTTTTTTGCTATTTGAGCGATATCGATAGCTGTTTAACTTTATTTTTTATTTTATTCTCTATTCACGAATAAGCTGACGTCTCGGCGGATTTCGGCTTCCTTAGAGTCTGGAAAGGTCAAGATGACAGCAGTCTTTTCGGCCAAACACCTCCATAACCAACCAGAAAGAACGCTAAGCCACGACTTCAATTACATTAAACATAAAATAGCTTCTTTGCACATTCACCGATTTCTATGAGTTTCCCACTGAGTATGTCGCGTAGAGATCAACCGCACAGAATTCAAATGGAAGCGTAATGTGCTCCTCCCATCAGAATAACAGGCTTATATACTGTCCAATATCACGCGTGATAATGAGGCATTCCTCCCTGGTGTTTATTTTCGGATTTCTGAAATTAATCCAGAGCGCCTCGAGAGCTTTGCGCGCTTGTGTTCTCGACTCCTGTGCGAGGATCATGACCTCTACTTCACAGTCCTCCCCGTTATTTCTCTGGGTCCTATGTGTGCTAGCGGGGTATTTGGTTTACGTTTGCAGACTAGGTGTTCTTTTATGCGGACACAGAGGGGTCTACCCGTTTCGCCAATGTATTCGTCTCTGTAAGCGTTATAGGTGATCAGATAAACTGTATCCGAGCCCATGCAATTACCGTCTCTACCATTAGAGCAAATTATAAAATTTTAGCCTGCACATGAACGATCACATAGGCGGTTACGATGAAGCTGGTGCCTAAAAGCACTCGGTAACATTTCAACCACGTTTACCGAATTCTCTAGACCCGCCCTTCTTAAGCAGCGTTTTATAGCTGCACTTATATCATTTGAGACTAAGGGTGGGATAAACGGGACCTTTCTATAGCTAGAGTTGTCGTTTGGGGGCTCTACACCTATCCCGACCTACAATTTCGCAGCCATTAAAAATGGTTATTTGCTGTGCCAAGTTGCGGGACTCCTCTATCTGCTCTCTTCCCTTGCACACGTTGGTTGCTGTTCGAAGTATATTTCTTATAAGCGCCATTTTCGTGTGGGAACGGTAAGAGGAGAGGTATTGAACCAAGATATTTTTACCACTTGGCTTTCGGTATCACATCGTTGTGTAGGCGTTTTCTGATAGGTTGATTTATGCGTGTTAAGGAAGCTAGTTTTCTTTCGGTTTCTCTCTCGTGAACTCAGTCAAAAACCGCCTACACTACGAAGTGATACCAAAAGCCAAGTAGTAAAAGCGTCTTGCCTCATTACCTCTCCTCTCACCCCTCTCACATAAAAAGCGCGCTTGTAAGAAACATGCTTCGAACAGCAACCAACGTGTGCGCGGGAAGAGAGCAGAGAGAGGAGTCCCGCAACTTGGCACGGCAAATAACCATTTTTAATGGCTGCGAAATTGTAGCTCAGAATAGGTGTAGGGAAATCCTAAGCCCCGAACGACAACTGTAGCGATAAAAAGGTCCCGTTTATCCTATCCTTCATCTCAAATGATGTAAGTGCAGCTATAAAACGCTGCTCAAGAAGGGCGGGTTTAGAGAATTCGGTAAACGAAGTTGAAATACCACCGACTAATCTTAAGCGCCAGCTAATTCGTAGCCGCCTATATGACCGTTTATGTGCAACTCAAAATTGCATAATTTGCCCCAGTGGTAGAGACGGTAATTGCATGGGCTCGGGTATAGTTTATCTAATCACCAATAACGCTTGCGGAGACGAATACATTGACGAAACGGGTAAACCACTCTGTGTCCGCATAAAAGAACACCTAGTCGGGAAACGTAAACCATACACTTCACTAAGCACGCAAAGGACACAGAGATATAACGGCGAAAATTTTGAAGTGGGAGTTACTATCGTCGCAGAGGAATCGAAAACACAAGCGCGCAAAACTCTCGGGACATTCTGGATTAACTCCAAGAATTAGAAAATGAACCGCAGTGAAGGACGGCTCACATTCACGCGTTATATTCAGCAATATTTAAACCTGTTATTGAGATGGTAGGAGCACATTACGCTTCCATGTGAGTTTTGTGCGGTTGGTCTCCACGCGACATACTCAGTGGAAGACTCATAGAAAGTGGTGAGTATGCAAAGAAGCTATTTTATGTTCAATGTGATTGAAATCTAGGTTTATCGTTTTCTCTGTTTGGTTACAGAGTTGTTTGGCTGAATAGATTGCTGCCAACTTGACCTTTCCAGGCTCTGAAGAAGGCAAAATCTGCCGAAACGTTAATTTGTTTGTGAATAAAGAATAAAATAACACCTCGCGTTTGCTCAACAAACGAAGAATTACTTGATCAATGCTGAGTTTAATAGAAGGGCAGTCGCGGGATTTAACTTTTTAATCTATCCGTTTCTCACTCGCGCTATATGCCCTATTGCTGTATCCCATGTTCAATAGTTGTACTTCAATACAAATAAAGTTGAAACTTTCAGTAGAACCAAAAGCCTATCTCGCCATTAATTTCAGTACTGACTGTAAGGCATCGTCTCTCTTGCTTACTCTGTATGAGGTTCCTTGCAATCTACGGTGCTTGAACAAAATAGTACTACAGGCATTTCCATATGGGCACTGAGAATTGATTCATTGGAACGCAAAACAGCTGTTGTTGCTCAATAGTACACGAACTTGCTTCCATTTCGATCCGGAAACGTTACGTCTGAGTGTACAGCGTGAGCATCGAGTGATAGGTAGGAAAAATTAATAAGCATGTTTTAAACTTCTCAGCAATTCTGATTGGAGTGTAATCATCTGCCGGCCAATAGCTAAATTATCGACTTAATTATCCTCATATTTGTGAATGTGTAACATTTGCCTTCTTTGAAGCTGGCGATTCCGAAGTGTAGTCGGATTGCACTGTGATTGATTCCGATTTCGTCGCAACAACTGTCGGCTGAATGTTTTGGCAGTTACCGTTGGCATTTATAAGCCACTAATAATGTTTTTGTCACCTTTTCTTGTGATCCATCGACTTTTTGCTTCGCCGGTGGCGATTTCTAAGATTTAGAAGTGAGTTATTTTAAAAAAAAATATCTTTCATATCAGAACTAGTTCACCGGTTCCGTGCTCTCTGCTGACTTGGCATTCCTAATCTCATCTGTGATAAGGATCGGGCCTTCAATTTTTGCAAACTTTGCTGCAATTGATTCTATTGACGCTCGAAACTCTCTTAACCCAATGCCAAAAAAAGCCGACTGAAAACAATCGAAAGGGTAGAAAAGGTAAGATTAGCAGTACGAACGTTTTCGTTTCCTCCATCTTTCGTCGATCATCCATAAATATAAAGCGAATGATGCGGTCCCGACTGCAAGGAGTAGAACTAAGCTGTAACGGACAACATTAATCGAGCTACAAGCAGCAAGCTTAAACAAATCCTCTAACAGAGCAAAATTAAGGTGCCCTTTACCGTTCCACATATGATCATCCTTGTCACCCATTCTGTAATGCTAGAGCAGCACCTAATCGATTTATCTTGAAATCCTGCACTGTTGTTGATACAAAAAGTGTTTCACATATGACAATGCCGACCATTTCTGATCACTTCTATTTCAATGATGGTGAGATATTTGCAAAACTCCGGACCGCAGGTGCCTGCGGTGGGAAAGGAGCGCGCTATTGCCCCTTTCCAGGGAGTAACATGTTCACCACCACACCATGCGGGTTCTTCGTTTCGCCTGTCTCTCAGGTGATAAGTTAATTTTCATTATTCATTGGAATCAATTTGTTTATCAGGTACCAAGACTATAAGACTTTTTGTGCCAGAGCTTTCATTTTTACTGTTCTCGGCAGTAAGCTGGCAGCTAAGTAAAATGGTTAAACTAATAACTTCCCCGCTCACTAATAACTTCCTCGAATGCCTTTTCACCTTGTTCAATACCTTATGTGTCAGTGATAAAAGACATTGTTTTTACAGTTTCAGACAAATTTTTGCTCCGTTCTGCTGCCAACAGAGGAATGGAAGGCTCAAACCGGGTTCGAATCAGGGAATGTCGGATATTGTTAGACGAACTCGGGTTCTATTCACGGGATTTCTGCTATTCAAAGTAATTATATAGAACACGATCGCTTGCTTGAGGGCACACCCATATTGAACGAAGGGCCTTTAACCATTTTCACACGAATGTGTCGGGTTTCCACTTTTAATAAAAGTGTTTCACTTATATGTGTAAATTATTTGAAGAGATTTCCAACTAAGTTACGGTAGTAAGCTACTATGTAACAGATCAGAAAGCTTACCTTCTGAACCATGACATGATGAACTACGAGAGCTATAAACTTCAACAACAAAACACCTCACTAGTGCTATCAACATCATATTCTAATCTAATCTTGTTATGCTCACCTGTCGTATTCGTTGCACGTGTTTTCAAGCAGTGCTAGTTCTATGATAACATGTTTAATTACTCTAATCACTCGAAAGACCGACTTTCTATGAACCTCGGCATAAATAGTTGATATACTTATTTATATGATCTTATAAACTGATCTTCTTAAGCTGACGCGAGGTTGGTACAGATCTTCGTTGTCGTTGTCGTTGTCG